TTCTAAGGAAGGTGACATTCAAGGAAACACAATGTATGCGTGATGCCTTGTTGGGCTCAGTTTAGCATATGCATACTATGCTACACTTGCTGGTTTCAGAAACTATCTCCTTACCAAACTGGATGTTCTTATTCTTCCCTTATATGGTACAGGGGACCCCAGGCACTCCTCATCCAAGAACAGTTCAACAAAGTACTAGAAATAGAGCCTAAACTGGATTACTGGATTAAGTTTTTATGCTTCGAAGAGAGATTTATGAAGCTTTTCTTCCCCCCCCCCCCCCCCCCCCAGCATAGAAAGAAAACACAGCAGCACAATGCAAACCACAGATTATTTAAAACTATAGACAAAATGCACGTAAAGCATTTGGACTCTATCAGGAGGAGAAGGGCAAAGTTTCAGTAGTGAAACTGGTAGCTGGTGAACAACTTAAAATGTGCAACTTAACATGCCCAACCCATTGTTCCTCTGTGGGAAAAATCCAGAGCATCTCTGTAGGTTAGTGTGAACCATGTTGCTTCTGTACAAATTAGGTCCTACTTTATTTTCCCAAGGGACATTATCTAAATATTAGATTTGCAACAAAATTGGTGAAAATGCTATTAAACTGGTAAACACATCAGACTGTTATTTCTTCAGAGTAATAAACATTTGTGAAATATATGATTCTATTGACGGCTCGTGCAGTGACCTGTTTTACTAATATGGGATAATAATTGTGGGAAGATGATAATATCAAAAAGACAAAAAAAAAAAAAGGAAGAACTAGAGCCAAGGAAAGCATGTGCTCCATGCAATGACAGTATCATCTGTAGAGCTGAGATAATCAAAAGCTTGCTGTTAAATTTCAAAAGCACTGTCAGATTGACAGTTAAACTAAATCATACACACAAGACCCATATAATTACTGTGTAGAAAAAAGCAGGACAGAAGCCTTTGGCTTGAGCATAAACTTTTTGTTAGAGCCAGGCATGATGGCGCTATCACGGATGATGCTAACAAGCACTTCAGAAAGTATTTTTTTCTTGCTCTTGTTGCCTGTATCTACTGTGAGAAATATCTGTTTTAATTTTCGCATGATTCAGAATTGGGGGAAAAGGAAAGCAAGAGAACTGGATTATGTCCAAATGCATTCAATAGTTCACTTGAAATTTAACTAAGGGTCACTAATGAAATAGACTGGATGAATTCTAGAGGATAATTACAGAGCAGGCTAGACCTTGGAAAAGAACAGTCTGAGTTCAAGTGCAGTTTGCAAGTCATGTCCAACATGTTTTTCTACTGTGACAAATAATCTACCAAGTATTTTGTTGCACCCATAAAAACCTGAAGACTCTAGATAACCTGTTTCCAGCTTCCAAGAACTGTTCACAAACAAAAAGCCTGAAAAGGACTAAATTCTAAATTTGCTGTTGACTTCACTGCCATTGGGAACAAAGCAGGGGAAGAAGACTTTACAAGCTCTTCCTCCTCCCCACCAAACAGATGCTTCCCCACTGCCTCACGGTGCAAAGGACTCACCTGGCCATCAGATGATCACCATATTCCATGGAAGATGCTTTGAGGATGCATGAGGCCCAAAAATTCACAGCTGCTGTCAAGGACTCAGCCAGAAAGTAGTCAAACAGCAGGTGACCTATGTATTCTCTATGGTTGTAAAGGCCAAGCCACCTTAGAGAGCTCTCTCTGGTTTTATTAGAAAATCATCACCTGTTGGTACTGACAAGTCAGACCTCTGTCAAGATTGATGCTGGCCATCATGGGTAAAAATGAGATTTTGAGACCACTGGGAAAATACATGTCTTATTAGATTTTGGGAACTTAACCAATCACTGTGGAACCTGAATAAGTTTCTGTGATAGTGATAGATAATTTCTGTGCCCATTGAAGGCTTTCCCAACCTCCTACCCAGGTGATAATAACAACCAGACACGTTACTGTAGATTTCCTTGCAGCTAGAGAGTAAATATAGGATTTGGTGCAGCTAATGGATAGCTACATGGCCCTTGCCACTATTGATACACAATACAGAACCTTAAAATAGCTTTAACGTGTTGTGTATATCACCCAAAACTGAACTCATGCTCATATTTATTTACTATTTACTATGCTCTGCAGCACTATTGCTTTAAAGCCCTTATCAAATTAAATACAGATTATGACTGAAAGTGAGTGGATGTTTTAATACAGAATCACTAAATCTCCTTCTAAAAATCTTTTAGTATAGGAAGTACTTCCTACTATGAACGATGATGTTGATTATAATTTGAACTACCAGTACTAATTTTCTGATGAGGGAAAGCTGCCAGCACACTCATAATCTGTCGGTGGTTATTATTTTATCTTTAAACAAGCAATGACAACAGAAGAGGAGGAAGTGATGGTGCTGAATTCTGATGAAATTTTTCCTTTATAAGGAACTCAAGTAAAGCTGGTATCTTTTCAGAGCCTCTTTTGGTGTCAGAAATAGCATCCAAGTAAATGTCACTCCAGAATGAAGATAATTAGTATATTAGAGACTTGTATGACAACAAGCATTTAGATTCTAACTACATGTAAACAGTTACATACAGCTGAGGACATGCATTCAGCTGACAAATGATTTGCAAATATTATTCTGTTGACAGAGACATGAAGTTCATGGTGGCCTCAGTCAGTAAACAAAGACGGAAAATGCACCTCACACATTTACCCCATGCCTAAAAAACAAGCCATTTAGAAGAAGACATCTGGATGCTCAAAAATTAGCATGACGGTATTCAGAGCCCATCAAAACACGCAGCCATGGCTTGGCGTCTAGTAGCTAAGCAACGTACTTCATACATTCAAAACATAGTTGTAAAAGTTGGATCCTCCTGCCAATTGCTGCCACTCTCATTGAAAAGCTAGACTGGAAAAAATCTCTCTTTAGTTCAAAGTGGGGCTGTTTTCTCCGGGAAACATCTCTACTGCTTTTTCATCCTTTAACCCTTTTTGTATTTACATGCCAGGAGGAGCAAATAGATTCATGTTGACATTTCAAGCGTAAGCATATAAAAATCCTGTGGACTCATGCATACTCCTTGCAAATAACATCGTGAACACATGTAGCAAGAAACTATGCTCTTGTTCTCATTGAGTCTGGCACTGAAACATAATGCCAAACAACATGTGTGTGCACACAGAAAATCGTTAAAGTAGATTAAGTTATATTGAGCTGCACTGAGGAGCTAATCCCATAGTTAAACCTGTTAAAATGTAAACCAAGAAAACAGTAGCCTGTGCTTTTTCTTTGCAAATCATTTACATCCCTAAGTAACAGTACAAGCAATATTTGCATCTTAAGAGTCGAAGGAGATCACAGGAACTGTGACATTTTGTTTAGTTTAGGTACTACTTACATCCAAAAGAGTTAACTCTAGGCATGGAAGATGCTTTGCTCAGCCTTCTTTGCAAGTGGATTACTGATCAGCAGCACACCCTTACTCTGGCAGCAGGGCATTCATACAAAGAATTACACATAAGCATCTGTAAAGCAAGTGCTCTTTTCATTCCCATCCTATCTCAATCCAAATTAACTTGGCAATTGATGTTAAGATTCACAGTCTGCCACCCTAAAAGTTTCTGAATTGTAATAAATCCCAGAGAAATAAATGAGAATACTGTCAGAGAAAAACAGTTTGGTGAAGTGATGGATTCTGGCACAGGATTAATTAATAAGCCATTAGAAAGGATGTTTACAGCAAAAAGTGAGAGCATTCTGACCCAGCCTAGGTAGCCTGTTTTCATTCAGATTATAACGATAAAAAAAATGAAAGCCTGCAAATTGGACCGATGGGACTTAAACTGCTAAAAAAGGCTCCCCCTTTACAAGTGATGCCTGACTGACACAGAACCTAATGTTTCAACTATTTACAGCTATAAAAGCAAGCCAGGCACTTTTTTTTTCCCCTTCTGGAGCAACTCCTTCCACAAACCATCCAAAGCATCCTTTTTGGCAGGCTCCTATGATGTAGAAAAGCAGGAGAACTCAAACGAACGGAAAGTCATGCAGTTATTTTTTTCGCACTTGGGGAAAGGAAGAAAACACCAAACCCAAACCGCTGAAGGGATATTCTTACAGAACTTCATTGCATAAACTCGGCCACAAGTCTACTGGAGCAATGTCCCTTAACGACCTCTGGCAATGCAATTAATTAACAGCTGGGCACTGAGCAAGGTTCAACTCTGCATGGGTAATTCCAGCCAGATCCGACCCACAGTTGATCAGGACACCCATTTTTCACTTTGAGAAAAAGACTTCATCCCCTTGCTACCAGCCAACTCACTCAGCTTCTGCAGCTCTGTTTACCTGTGGTTTGCGTTTACGTCCTACCCTTGAACCACAAGTGCTGCTGCCTTCCAGTGCGGTGGAGCTATTCTTGCTGGAAATAGCATCTCAATGCACTCAACAAAGAAGCTGCATGCACTTTTAAGGTGTTCTTCCCCATTTTCACTAGCAGGTTTGTTTAGGGACTGATTTAGGCTCGGGAGTGTTATCAGCCCTTTTTGCCCAGACCACCTTCCCGAGAGAGAGGGGCTGTGTGTGAAACATCTCACTGAGGAAGACGGAACAACATCATCTCTCAAGCAGAGATAAGTTAGGTGGCCTCAGCCAAATTTCCCACTCTGGCAAATTACCACTTCTCCACCCTGGCAGGAGTCCCTGCACTGCACTGGCATGAATGGGTGCGTACCCACACTGGGGATGACCTTGCTGGGGAGGAGGTCACACAAATGCAGACACAGTTTATTGGCTTTTCAACCCCTCTTCCATCCCTAGCAGCTGTGCACATGGGTACCGATCCCCAAGACACATTACAACCCACCGGAAATGTTGAAGATGCAAACAGAGAAGCAACCACTGAGCAGAGCTGGTCAACATGGCTGAGTGCCACCAGGCTGGTCTTGCTGTGTCCCAGCTACCCTACAACACATGGTTCAAGCGACACCAAGTCGCTGTCAGTTGGGGTGATGCCTACCTCGCGGGTGAAGAAGATGGCTGCATCATAGTGCTCGTCATGGTCATCATCGAGGCGGTTGTGCTGGTGCTGCCACTTGCAGAAGTTCTTAAGAGTGGTGGCAGCGTTCCTGTTGACCTCCAGCCCCTTCTCCTTCTCGCCGAGGGCCACCACCTTCACCACTGTCAGGCGGACGTGGTTCTCCAGGCTGGCATGAGCGTAGAGCCGGGAGGCGATGGAGGCCAAGGTGAGCAGGTAGTGCTGCAGCCCTTTCCCGTACTTGCGGACCATGGAGGCGTCGGCCACCAGCAGCAGCTCCACCTGCCGGGCCCGGGAGACGGAGCGACGCCTCCTCCGCCGCCGTCGCCCGTTCTCCGACAGCGCCGTCCCGGCCGGGTCTTGGGTCTCGCAGCTGGTGCGGGCCGGCACCGTCTCGAAGCTGAAGCGCTCCCTGCGGAAGAGATGCGGGGCTCGGGCCGGGCCCTCCCCGTAGATGTGCGGGGCGGCCGCCTCCCGGCCGCGCCGAGCCGGCTTCACGGTGTAGCGGGAGCTGCCCACGGCGAAGAAGCCGTCGAGGCCGCCGCAGAGATTGAAGACGGCCAGGGAGCGCGGGCTGCCGTCCACCGTGCCGCGGTAGTAGCAGCGCGGAGGCGGGCCGTCCCGCGGCCCCACCGCCCCGTCGCGCTCCAGGTCGAGGAGGAAGCGCTGACCCCCCGCGTAGAGGACGTATCCCGCCTTGCCGCCCCCCGCGTAGGTCGGGTCGAGGCGCTGCACGACGCCGCTGGCCCCGTGGGGAGGCCTGGGGGGAGGGCCGGGCCGGGGCCGGGGCGGCGGGTGCGGGGAGGCGGCGGGGGGCGGTGGCGCTACGGCGGCGGCAGGTGCCGGCGGCTGGGCCAGAGCGCGGTGCAGCTCGGCGGCCAGCAGCAGGGAGAGAAGCCTCAGGAGCATGCTTGCCTCGCCGTCAGGAGCGGCCGCAGTGGTGATGGTAATTAATAGTAGTAATAATAACAACAGGAATTGGGGAGAGGGGTGGAAAAGAGCCGGTCCGCGGTGCGCGGCAGCGTCGTCAAGGGAGGTAGGGAAGCGGATAGGAAAGGGGGGGGGGGGGGAAGGAAAAAAGAAAAAAAAAGAAAAAAGTTCTCCCTCCCAAACTCGAGTCAAGTGTGAGTGAGAGAGAAAAAAATGTAAACAAAAGCCGCTCGCTTGTGAACTTTGTGTTTCTCTGCAAGGAAGAGCCGGGAGCGCATGGAAGAAGAGAGGCAAAAAAAATCCAAATCACTGCTGCTGGGGGGGCAAGGCAGGGAGAGAGAAAAAGGAGGAGAGGAGGCTCGGAGCCGGCAAGTAGAGAAGTTTGAGCATTTCCCACTCCTCTTCCACTTCTCTGCCGTAGTCACCGGATCATCGCCAGCAGCAGCAGCAGGGGCAGGGGGCAGGTCTGCTGCGACTCGGCACTTTCTCGGGCTCCGGTGGGCTCCCTTTCCTTCTTTTGCCCCCTTTTGTTTTGCAGAGGAGGAGAAGGGGAGAGAAGAAATTCAGGCTGTACAAATCGCCTCGTTCGTCTCCGGTGAGATGGTTAAAAAAAAGAAAAGAAAAAAAAAAGGAAAAACCCAGAAGCGGAAACCGTCCCGGATTTTTGTAAAAACCCCCTCCCTGTATCTTTTCTGTTGTTGTTGTTGTTATCCCCAGTCTGTCGATGTGAACAAGAGGAGAAGGGAGAGAAATGTGAAGATGAGAGGAGGTGGAACAATGAATTTATAGCGGAATGCCATCCTGCAATGGCAATTTCAACAATTCGTCACTCAGGCTGCCTCTTAAAGGGAGAGCTTCAAAACCACCACTCCCACACTTCCTTCTCATTTAATCAGAGGGAGAAACTTGAGGGGAGGGAGAAAGGGGGGGGGGGGGAAGGGGGGGCGGCTGCGAGGGGAGGAGAGAGGGAACGGGAGAGAGGGCGGCAGGAGAGGGGAAGAGCGGGAGGAAACCGGGGAGGCGAGAGAGACCGGCAGGGGAAAAAAATGTGTGTGAAAGACGCGAGGTTTCCCTCGAATCGCTTAAAGCCACAGACACCCGGGGCTGGACGTGTCCCCGCCGGCCGCGGACGGCGGAGCTGCGCTTACCTCGCGTCCTGCCCGCTCCCCGTCTCTCCTGCCTGAGGCTGCCGTTCATTTTGCACTGCTTGGCGAAGGAGGCAGGTTTACGGCGGGATCTCGGGAGGGAAGCGGTAGAGGGCTCTTCCGAGCGTGCCGGTGATGCGGAGTCCCGTGGGGCGGCCGGGGGGAGCGGAGCGGCTGCCGCTGACCTCCTGTCTGGGCTCGGCCCCTGCCCTTGCCCGTGCCCCTTTTTGGGTCAGTGGCAGCACCGCACTTCCTCCTTTTGTCTGGGCGGCCGCGACTCGTCTGCCTCGAGCCTGTCATTAAGTCGAAGCAAGCTGTCATCTAGTTTGGGCCGACTGTGATTTCCCCCGAGCCCCCAAAGAGGAGGGAGGGCGGGGAAGAGTTAATGCTTGCTTTGACCTTTCGAATGACTTCAGATACTTAGATCATCCCCCCGCTGACTGACACACACTTCAATTCACCCTGTCCCCACATCTTCCTTCCCCCGCATCGTGATCGGACAGGGACACCACAAAGAGCAGATGACTGCATTTACTTCCTCATCTGCACTTTCCACCTTAACATTGCCCACAGAGCGAGAGAAGACTGGCAAACGGCTCGCTCTTTGCCGGGAAGGCAGCCTGGGTTTAGGGAAGGTGAGGGGAGCAAGACACCAGAGGAGTCAGAGTCCACCGGCTTTCCTCCTGTTGAGGACCCAGCATCACCAGGTGCCTTGTTTTCCACAGAGTCACACACACATGGATGGGAAACGGAAGTGCTTATTAGCTCATGTTTCCTCTCCACATCCCAAGGTGGGTGCCAGGAGCAGGTGCTCTCTAGCTGTGGAACTCCAACGGGAATACAGCTCTCCAGTCTCGTCCTAGCCTGCAGACAGCATCTCAGCCTGAGCACTCTGGTCTGTGAGGGAACAGCATGTACATCTTAACTCTTTGCAGAATTGGGCGTGGTGTTGAGGTGGGCAGAGAATGGCAGGCCAGCACCTGCCTCTGTAGCTTGCAGAGGCTGCTTCAAGAGTCTAACACTTCTGTAAAGAACAGGTTAACTAGTGCCACAAACGTTGCAAAAAATAATATACCCACGTAAATGATTACATTAACATTACCCTGAGGTTATGCTTATGAAATATGTAACGCACCAAAGTTTTGCAGGTGCTCTTTCTTCTTTTTCCGTTTTTCCAGAAATGGCGATACCTGCAAACAAAAGTTCACTTCTCAGCCTCCTGGTATTTCTTTTTCTACATGTCAGTATTTTATCATCACCAAAAATTCTTGACTGGAGTCAGTAACTTCCAAAATTAAGAGTTATATATCAGGAAGGTCAAATGACATTTTTAGGGCATTGGTCTAGGACTATTCATCATTTTTAAATTTAAACATTTTCTCAATTACTTTAAACTACTTATAAAGTTAAGACTGTTAAAAAAAAGTAACTGAAGGGTGGAAGTGAGAGAGAAAAAGATGGCCTATTTTGATTTTAAAAAGAGCCTGTATTTTGTCTCCCACTTTACCTTGGATGGCTTTTACTTTTCATTTGAGCCTAGTAGGTATCCGTTCAGCACGAACAATATTTTTAGTGACTTCACTGGGACCTGGTCAAGGCCTGGATTCACATATTATGTCTGGATCCAAACTCCCAGATACCTCTGGGAGAGGTACTAAAGATGAGATCCAGGATAAGGAATGTAGTTTGGGTAACAACTTCAGAAACTCTCATTAAAAAAGTGTTAGTTTGTCAATGAAAAGGCTTATGGTGCACAAGAGGCCATTGTAATGTTCTCCCATGCTACAGCATAATTTCAACTGTCCAGCTACATAGACTAAGAAAACCAGGAATGCTTAGAAGGGTTAGTGGTAATTAAATGGTCTCTCTGCTTGTCTGTTGTGTTGTCTTTGATTTCCCAAATGACAGGAAAACTTGTCTAAAATTCCATAATGCCCTGTTTCACTGAGCAAGGATGTAGGCTTTCCAGGAAGGTACAAATTAGCCTGTGCAGATTACCCCATAGGTTATAAAGTCTTTCCTGTTTACATTTCAAAACTGTAACAACTCAGCAGTGCAATAATGGAAAGACAGGTCAGTCATGCCTCATGCAACAAGAGGAACTCTCCTAGTCTGAGAGTCTTGAAGTGTGAGGATAAATCACTTGAGCGAATCATCTTTTTCCTCCCAGTTTTACCCTTGTAGCCTCTTTTTGCAGTTACAGCCTTGCCTTTAAACAAGAAAGCCTGTTAGCATGTCCCACGTTGTGGATGACACTAAATCCTTGTCAAACACTTCTGACCTGGAAACCTCAAAGCTCGCCTTTCCAAACTGTGAAATAGCCACAAATCCTCAGCTAGCTGTAAGGCACAACACAAATTTTGTACAGTTTGGACAATATTAAATCCTGATGTAAAAAGATGCAGTCTTTTTTGAGTGTCTCGGAGCTGCAAGCTTCTTTCATTCAGAGATTGTCCATGAAACCCTTTAGGATTCTCCAAGTGGCAGCCTCAGTAGCTGGGGATTCCTGATTCTATAGTCTTTAAGCCACATAAGAAATACTGCTCTAAACATTGTAAAAACCTGTATGAAGGGATAGCTTGAGAGACATTACATTACATACCGACAAAGCTGCCAATAATTTTATCCACATGTCCTTCAAACAGTCTTATAGAAGGGTCCCCTTTTACATCGTGTCTTTTTCAGTTCTTGGTCACATTGCCAGGGGTAGAAAACCACAAACCCAGGGTGTCAACAGGTTAGTCCTGTGCTGCCTACAGTCTCCTGATAGTCAAGGCCTAGCAGAGATGCCCAACCCAACACCGCCTGTCTTTCACCATTAACTTAACTCTTCCTCCTTGGAGATAAAACAAAAATCTGTTCAGCTTTTATTGTACTATTGTTAGGAGTGCTTGATCTTGCTATGTAATTGCACAGGGGATACAGCAATTTACTACTGGATATAATTGGATAAAATTATAGGAAGATCCAATCAAACCCAAGAAAATTGCCTGTTCAGCATATTCAAAGTAATATCAACCAAACAATATTTGATAGACTTTTGATCAACACAGGCCTATAATTGTGAACTGGACCCAGTTTTAGGTATGTTTCTATCCAAGAACCTACCTGTAGCAACATGGTTCTTAATATGGGACAGCTTTATTCCTCCTGAGAACTGAAAGCCTCTGTTAACTTTATGGGACATTTTTAATAAGCATATCACCGAGATCACTCTTGCCTGCAACAGGAGGCTTTTTGACACTTCATCCCACAGAAATATATCAGCGATACTCTGCTTAAATCCACCAGTGGTACCTCTCAAATCCACCGTGGTTTATTAGTCTTGTCAGCAGTTTTAACAGTCCAAACATTATGATTATAATGTTCAAGTCTATTAACTTTAAAGCTTTCCTATGGTGATGCATTAAAACCACTGAAGAAATTTCTAAAGGGCTCATTATTAAATAAAATACTCATTATGAGTAATTTTGCAAAGAACTCTTAAAGATTAATATTTTTGGTTAACGTTCTGGAAAGGGCTGGGTAAACTGACATTTGGAATAAATTATGCAGCCTTTGACCCCCACCCTAGGACAGCAGCATAGTTAACATTGTCCCTTATTTGGACTATGTATCTTTACATCTTTGAATGCTATGGAAATCCATTCAGATGGAGCCTCCTGGCCGTTGTTATGACTTCTTGATATTGAAATGGGTTTGTGGTTGATAAATAAGGCAACATCACCATTTTTGGTTTATCTTTCCTGCCAGTCTTACCAGATGTGCTAGGAACTGAGTGCTTCTGGAGACTGAGCTAACTTCTTCATCCTTCTCATATTGCATGTGGCAAAGGCAGTAGTGGGAAGTTTGCTGTGGGCTACACGTTTTCTCATTTCCATGGCTGGCATTTCCTCTACACACAGTTGGCATTTCTAAGCAGTCCAGTACAAAGTTTTTGTAGGCCCTAAATTATTTATTTAAAGGTCAAATAATGTCTGCCTCAGGAAAACAACTAAAAAGTATTTTCACAATGAAGACACAAGCTGATGTTCCTCAGTATGTGTTCCCAAAGGGCATTAGGTTGTACCTTTGTGCCCATCACAAGCCACCATTGCATATGACCACCACCTGTAGTTGTTGTAATTGGCCAGGTTTAGAATAAAAATGTCTTCAGTTACAACAACTTAAAGCAGTCATATTTGGTAAGAAATGTAAATCTTTTTGGTGTGAAGCACTGTAGCTTTAAGGCAAAATGTTTTACTTGCTTCTTTATGGTCAATGACATCTTCTTCAACTACAGCCATGTGCGAGCAAAGGAGACGCCTTTGGCTTGGGGTTTATGTTTTTATAAGTGGCATGTGTAAGTAATGTATCAAGTATATAACAGTTCCAGCAGGCTGAAAATTTTACATCAGCTTCATGTTTCTGTAAGA